CTGTAAAGTGTAGAAAAAAGATGTTAACTTTCTCCTACAGCGCTCTCAAAAGAGCTTTCCTGAGAAGTAAGCACATTTTTGAGTTCTTAGAATGGCTCTGTAGAAATGGTAGTAGCACTCTAGGTAAGCTGTCCAAAGAAATACAAGCGAGATAAGGAAAAAAATGCGAGGTGCATGGATAAAATCATTTTTAATCTAAATTCGCAGCACCATAAAAGGGGTTTCTGAAAAATCGGCCGCCTACAACTTTAACAAAAGATTTAGACTTTTGAGTGATTACTAACACTCTATGAAAAAATCTCGTTCAACGAACGGAGTCAAATATTCACTTGTTGCCCTCTAACAGGAAAGCACCAATTCACCATACTGTCTTAGACTTGGATCTACTTTGATGCATACTAGAAAGATGTACACTAAACGCATCCAGTGTGAGAAATATCATTACCTAAACTTCTCCAGAAAGAGGAATCAGATAAAAAAAACAAATGCCTTCGAAGGAAGTGATTGCGAATTTCACATCAAAGCGCACTACAGAATTACAATTTTCCTTCGTTTTCTTAGCATCCCAATATTGTAACTCACCTTGCAAAAACTATTTGAAGTTAGTTACACTAAAAGGCGAGAGGGCACTGTAGTACTATTTCCAATACGTTCACTCTATCTATCATGTTAATGGCCTTGTGTTTTATCGTGAAGTTTTTTAGCCTAATTAAAGGTCGGAGTAATTCAGGTCGGCCTCTGGAAAACTGAATCCTGCACTGTGTCAAGGTTGAGCTCATTAATGCGAGTAGGTAAGGAGCACTACTCTGAGGTCCGGTATTGCTTTGCTTCTTCGCTCATAATACAGCAGCGGAGTGTGATTGAGCATATGGGCGCACGGTAATCATATATCAACCCTAAGAGTTTGGCCGTTATGATTAGCTGATGATGTTACATTCCCCTTTTTCTGTATTCGAAGATGACATCGCCTATTTCTACCATGTTGATTTTTCTGTTAAATCTTTTAGCCATAGCATACAGTGTGTGCATTAGTTCCATTGGCTGAGCGGTTCTGTACATCTAAGCTTCTCTTCTCGACTTCCAAGTTATACATGGTGTTGAAAACCGCGCATCACTGACTTCTTGGTTATGCAATCGTTCAAACGCGTAAAGGAAAGATTGAATGTATCGCCAACTGACGTGAATCTCTAACCAGGCGTTTGGCTAAAGTGATACAGCCTCCGAGAGCCCAACTCTTTATTGACTCTGTCCTAGAGTGTGCGTTGAAGCTCACAATGTGACTCATAACAAGGTCATTACTGTACGCTTCAGCGATGGTCAAGTCATGATGAAAAGCATCGCTTTGCTCGAGGGCCTCCGTTGATTACGATATATACTATCGCCCGAGTAACTGTCTGAACCTTTACAATGGAAAGGGACTGCCGGATGTCTTCTAAAGAGGGTCGCTGAGCCCAAACGTCTTCTCTCGTCTCAGATCAGAATCGATGCATATTTAGGATCTTTTCTGGAGGAAAGACTCAGACTCTGTTATCACCACGACAATATGTTCTATTTGCGGTATTGCTGAGGTCAGCTCTAAAGAAGGTAGTTTGCCTTTTGCCATCGGATGTCATCATTTGAAACAAGTTTACAAACGCTCATGTTGAGGTCGATGATCGTCTGGTTCACACGTGAATGCATATATATTGACTTTTCCAACTCTTCGGTGGTCAGAATCAGGTTGTCCACTTATAAGTTGTTCTTTATCTCTTTGACCAGAGCAGTTTATTGATTGCAGTGTTAAAGATGGTGATGAGCTGTTCCCGCCAACAAAAACAGGGATGCAATTAAGCCAAAGGCGACTCTGGTAAATAATAGAACCTCGACTATTTAGATTATGATGCTTGGGGAAGGTGATAACTTATGGTTGCGCAGTGAAGTTGGAAAAGTAGTGTTGGAGAAGTCAAAATATATCGCCTCATGTGTGAAGCAAATAATCAGTAACCTCAACGTGAACCTTCGCGATTTTGGTTCAAATGATGACGATCTGATGGCGAGAATACAAGTATTGGTCACATCAGACGACCGCATACCAAATGTGCTTCAAATCCCATGGAACCCTCAATCCGATTTCATACAGATATCGTGCGCCATAAAAGTAGATCAACGCGTCACCAAAAGAACGGTTTCTAGTACCCTAGCTCCTGCATACGAGTCAGTGGGTTTCCTCTTACCATTATTTCATGATGCAAAAGTATTTTTACGTTCTTTATGGAAAGACAACCACGACTGGGACATTGTAACACCAGAACCCTACGAAGTAAGTGGATGCAGATATGCACAAAAATAAACGGATTCTCGGAACTCTATTGCGTTATCTGGGAACGAAGGATAGCGAGTACACGCTAGTAACCTTTGCAGACGCCAGCAGTGAAGCTATTAACCGCTTGTATTTATCGGCGCTCAGCAGACAATTGATCTTTTGATGAAGAAAGGCTAACTGCTTTCGCTGAAGCTAAAGTTTCAACAATACCAAAATTGAATTTGGATGCTCTCATTTCAGCACTCCGACTGACGATTGCTGTCCTGATCCATCTCCGCAAATCGCTTAATATCCAGAACATACATAATTTCACAGACTCGGAAATTCGCTCTCAATTAGATAAAACGCAGACCATTAAAGAGCGCTGGACTTAGAATATTTAATCGTCTAATGAAAATTTGAAAAAATTCTTGAAAACATAGAAAGTATAGGTACAGGCATCCTCGTCGGACACGTTACATCACCAAGCAATGCAGCGGATTGGGCAACTCGAGGACTTGATCAACGGGAACGACTCGAGCATCTAGGGTGACATGACCCACCATTCTTTCTAGAAACCTTAGAGAAAATGGAATATCACGTTGAACACTTCCCAATACAATGAAAGCTGTTCCTCCGAATCGCTAATGCAACACTCCAGAATAATTAAATAGGTGTAAAGTGCAAAGAAATTATCCAAGAGCAACATAATGTCCTTTTCAAGAGGAATACCTCAAAAGGAGAAAACAAAGTCCACATTTCACCTTACTGGAGAAATACTCCTTGACCAACACTAAAAGGATCGTGGCAGGATTCTATGACATATTCATTTTAAGTCGTTAAAGTCAGTGCTCGAAGAACGAATCACATTAGATTATCCGCACTTCTACAAGTCACGGGAACAAACTATGACTATGGTATCTCCGAAATGGAAACCGTCATAGCCGTAAAAGTTTGGTCAAACAGCGCCAGTTATCAACGATAAGATCTTTTATGATGCAGTCTACGACAACCTAAATGCTGAATTAGACTACAACGGTTTGATACGATGTTTTGGACGTCTAGGGCGAAGTGATTCGAGCAGAGGCCAAAAACCCCTTGTTAGTTATACAGAATTCCTAGTTGGCATCTACCAATATCCGAGAATGTTACGGCACTGGTCATCCCGGCATGAGCCACACTATGTTTCTTGTTTAAGAAAAATAATAGATCCGTAAACTTGGAGCACAAGTAAAGAAAATTCTTCGTCTATTTGTTCAATGCCAGCGATTTGATAACTTTCCCTACAAGTACCCCTGAACGAGGAAATGTGCCCCCAAGGAAGAGTGCGCAAATCGCGTTCCTTAGAACACGTGTGCCTGAACTATTTCGGCCCGCTAACATCCAGTCGGATTCTACAAAAATCAAATGTTATGGAGCAATAATCACGTGCACGGAGATTCGACTGATCCATTTGGACATCGTCTCCGACCTCGCCACAACGGCATTCCTCATGTTCCTACGTCGCTTCCTCACCAGACGCGGAGTACCATCATCAGTTACGAGCGATAATGCTTCAGCATCCATGCTAGCGAAAGCACTTCTTGATGAACGTTGGCAGTCTACTTAGAACGATCCGTAACTGAAACGCACATAATCAACAAGAAATAGAGTGGCGATACACCATTCACTTCCTGGCAAGGATGGTTTTATGAGAGACTCATCAAGCCGATGAAGCAATCTTTCTGTAAGACTTTAGGAGCATCTAGATTTTCGATGGAACATATCACAACAGTGATAGTAGAGATGAGTCTCTTATCAACACAAGATTCCTTGGATATGTTGAATCAGATTGATACGAGAGGAGACGCTTAGGATCATTGACTTCCTTCAAAATGGATTCGACATTCTGTTTCCATTGGAGGAAACTGACGAGGGCAACGATCCATCGTACTTTCCATAGGAGATGAATCTTTTGAGAACTCAAAACCAACTCGTAGATGCTACAAATTCATCTTGCAAGTACACTAATGATTTTGGGGAGTCTGGGAATCTCAATATTCAACGTATTGCGATAGAAGCGTCAAATGGGAGTGGGAGCTAAGTTCATTTCTTCAACGGATGATACTAACAAGACACTCGTGGAGGACGAGCAAAATAAGAATTGGTAGCAAACTCATAAGGAATAAGGCATGGACTACCATTTTGCTAGTGTCGCATCGAAAAAGTGGAAGACCACTAATCTGCTCTCCTCGCTAGAGATGAAAGATGCGCAAAGACAGGAGAAAGTCACTCAACACATGAATCAAAAAAGAGTGGATGCGACCTTATCCAGACAGAGAAACAATTGTATCAAGTGGCAACCGGCTGACAGCGAAATTAAGCGAAACTAGTTTACCAAAAGGTAAATACAATCGGCGATCGACAAAGCAAATTCTCCTCATCTTATTCAAGCTCAAAATAACAGTGTGATTATTCTGCTTTATATTCTGCTATAATTCTGGATATACAACACATATTCAGACCTAACACACGGTATTCCACTAATGTTCGTACTATCCGATACACATACTCCCCACTATTCCATCGTACTACCACCGCTCCATATTCCATTCCACCTAATCAGCTGCTCTCCTCTGCCGAGTAATCAGTGAAATAGAAATCATCTTATTTGACTGCCGATTTCGGTGTAATGATGTTTGAATAAACCCAATAATGCAGAGTCGTGCGCAAAACCGTTTGAGTCAGCCGGGATCTAAACCCAGATCCTTACTCTTTCCGAAAGCATGTGCTAAACCGTTGCACCACCGACGCTCGTTTTGCACAGCACTCTTTCTACGCCACAACGCTTTATCTGTGAACAGCCAACCGTCTACGGTGTGGCGGGGTAGTCATTATTGACATTGAACTTACTTTTGTTGACAGATATTGGGTTTTAATAATCAATCGGAAATCATTTTATTGACCGCCGACTGCGGTGTTATGATGTTCAAATAAACCCGATAACGTAGGTTTAGCACATGCTTCTGGAAAGAGTGAGATCCGGGTTCAAATCCCGGCTGGCGCAAAGGTTTTCACAACGCTCTACATCACTGATCAGTGATTATTATACTATTCTATCATGCCAATACAATTTTGTACTCTATTATTCAACTGTTATCGTCAGGTCGTCCATTCCACAACAGCAGCTACTCCCTTCCCAACTACTATTCTTTCCTATTATTCGACTGTTCTCATCAGGTTTACCCATCCGCAACAGTAGCTGCTTCTCTCCCAACCGTTCTATTCTTCTTTTTATTCACAGTTTTCGTCAGGCAAGCATTCTTTTTCCAAATATACGAATGTTCTCGTCATCAACTGCTACTGTTTCGTTAGAATTAGAAGAGACACACGATAAACCCGAATCAAAGAAGCATCATTGATACCGGATGAGAAAATGGACAGATTTAAGATGTGCAAAAAATTTCTATAGATATAGCTATAAAACTAATGCTAAATGAACTTACTTGCAGCGGAACTTCTGCTCGACTGTTACCGGAGTATGGACGAGCGCGAAATACACGAGTCGCACTAAATATTGCCATGTTAAGCATAACACTTGATAGAGTTCAACAGAAGTAATGTTTAGCATAAGACTCGTGAAATCTAGTGTTTTCAGTGTTTTTTCCGTAGTGTAATGTTTATAGATAAACCTCAGAGAATTGAGTGGTGAGCAAAAATACGACCTCAGACAGTAGTCGAACCCGCGTTTCATCCATACCGGAAACGCTGTGCTACCACTACATCACCTAAGACATTCGCACCAGCACTCATTCTTCAATATCACTATGATAGCTATCAGCCACCAACTTGCAACAAGCTTGGTCGAGTATGCGATTTCGCTTTATAAATCCTGCTGGGCTGACAGCCATGTGATACGTAGCACTCGTGAAATTCTAGTAATTTTACTGCTTTTTCGCAGTGCAATGATGTTTTAGAAAAACCTAAGAGAACTGAGTGGTGAGCGAAAACTAGTGGTGGTGAGACTGTGCCGCGGTGCTGAAGTGGTAGCACACGTCCCCGGTATGGATGAAACGCGGGTTCTACGCCTTCTGAGGTCGTATTTTTGCTCACCACTCAGTTCTCCTAGGTTTATATCAAATAAGACTGATAAAATACCAAGTCGTTCTCTGTGGCGAAATAGGCGTAAAGGTCAAAGCGCCTGTCAACTGGCTGAGACTCGCGGCCTAAGTGGGCGGTGTTGTGTCGCCTTAAAATCCGACAAAGATATATACTAATCCTAAATATATAATGTATAAAGAGATTACTTACGCGTGCGTGCAATGGGATTACATGGCCTGACCACTTGCGACCGACGAATGAATAGAATGAACGCGTCGGATGTCCTTATCGTATTTATCGCCACGTGGATGAAAACCGCTTCGCGACCGCACGGGCGCAAACGGCTATTGACTTGGAGCGCATTTTCATTAGTTCGAGAAGTGCATAAACTTTCGGTTCGAGTCCTTGATCTGAAATAGTGCGTTCATTCGTATCATTGCTTTGACATTCCTATGAGAACCTTTATTTCATTTTATACAGTCTGTTATACAATTTTCTGTGCAGATAACAGCACCTTCTGTAATTTCTATTTCTCTACTTGAATGTGTAAACATATACCTATCTGTTCGTCTTTTCTTGTACTAAAGTTTAGCTATTCACCAGACTTTCCAACTGCCTCTATTTCTGTATTTCTAAAAATTTCATTATAAACATGTCTGAAAATGTCTTACTGTCGCAAATCTAGGGTAAGAGTTTAATAGTAGATCGGATGAAAGTGAACCAGCGCGTCTAGACAGCCGTAGTGACTGCCCATAGCTGCCTTATTGCTGCAAATAGCGGAAACAAGGAACTTTAAACAGACAATGGAAAGTTCTCGGTGTTTCGAGAAAGGAGCAATTGTGGTGATTGTCGAGGTAATAAGATATTTTTTGTTATCACACCACCCAATTTAGCGTGCAGTTTTTAGCACTTCTTGCATTCAATTTGTTTCTTTGCGGCGACTATACCAATGAATAGAAAAGTAACATGCCAGCATAAAATTATTAATAATTGACCTGCTTTTCAATCTTGGTTGAACGCGTAGCAAAATTCTTGAGTTGAACTTTTGGGTTACGGCAAGACCTTTCGCGCAGAATTGCGAGGCAGCCATGAACGAAGAATGCGATTTCATGAGATACTATCATATCTTTGGCAGGTTGCAATCGTTATAATAGGAATGCAATACTCAGTAAGCGATAATTCAGAGTTATCCAAGCTTCAAGCACTTCAGTATCTTCATTGAGAATCTCAACTAGTAGTCTGTGGCAGTAGAGCGAATCTTTCTCATGTCTACAAAATAGCGAGTCCTCTAGTTAGCAAATTTCGTGACATCTTAACACTGTGTCAACACAAATGTGGGGACACTTTTGATTGTACAGCTCTTTGGCTGTGATCAAATGGTCATTGGTGCTCATTTATGGGACTAGGAACTAAATAGAGCAAATGAGGAGTAATGGATGTGCTCGAACTTCATCAACCCTTTCGGTACCACTTTGTTATTTTGCCCATGACGAAGCGTGATAGATCAGTGGCACATATACAGCCTGCTGGGCACCTAAAGGGTCAGTTCTCCAGAGTTGTGCCTTTTGTGGCACTCTGTTCGTAGTGCTGTACTCGTTATTCAATATAATTATTGCCATAAGGCATGATTTAGTAGGTCTCCTCAGGAGTTTCTGCACTAGAGCAATAAACACCAAATTTATCAAGCAGAACTAATCAAAATTGCTCAGCAACACTACTTGGAGAATGCGTCATCGGCCCTCACACATTTATATCGTCGAAGATGACGATGAAACAGAATTTGAACGATTTTTTGCGCTCGAGCATCAGTACCTACGTGAGCTTGTATGGAGTCCGTCAACCCCTTTTCCATTTTATAACTTCTGTCTTCAAGAGTCTGCTTATTTGCGCATAACCACATTCAAAATAGTCGGCCAACTCCTCATGGTCAAAGTTGAATTGTTTTTTGCTTGCTCTAATGACGCTCTCTTCACCGACTTCACATGGACGTCCGTAGCGCAGCCATCCCTTCAAGTTGGTGTTGCCGGCGCGAAATTTAGAAAGAATCGAAGCGTTATTTGCTTGAACAAGGATCCTTGAACCTTTACTTGATTGAGTTCTCAAAGTTTTGTACATTGTGCCCCAACTTGTACTCGTAAGGCAGCAAAGTGTGGTAAAGGCTTTGTTGAGCAGCCATAGTGAGGTAAGTGTGAACAAATCTGGTATCAAAAGAAAGTTCAGAAATTTTTGAACAGAGCGTTGTTGATTTGTGACCTGATAGATGGCAGCAAAGTGCTTAGGACGATGGCGTATGCTAATAATATTGCCAAGAAAATTTTGATCACTTGCGGTTAATATTCGGTGTTTATTGCTCTGGTGCTAGAATTGATGAGAACACCTCACAAAGATCAGTAAGATAACGAGCCAACGTCTTTTTTTCTACTGCATAACTGTGCTATCAAATTACCAAGCACACAACTATGGATTTCATCTTTCACTCTGTTGCTGGCATCAGTTAGCAACTATGTCTTCGTCGCAGGAAAACTTCATATGTTATTGTTCATGGCGATGTGGTGGACATTTTTCGCTGTGGAAAATGACGCTTCTTCAACGAAGCTCTGGAGACATTTGGGAAGAAGTCCAGAGTCTGCAACCATAGCCCGACCATTCCCGTTTTTGTTATCTAATGCCAATGAATGCAAAGCCTTTCGTTCATCATGGTCTTCTGTAAAACAGTGTTAGTCCACACATTCCATGTTGAAGACGCCCTTTGTGTTCGCGATAACGATATGTTTTTGGTATCTAGGGTTCTTTCTGATTACAAGGGACAAATAGAAAACCGACCTCATTCGCTGGAGAAGAAGTTTTGATCGAGTGTTAGTAACTTAGAAAGCTTAGATTTCTGGCTACATTGCCACGTCGCCGGTTCCAAGCAGTTCTTTTATATCGCTGTAAAATCCACACAGATCTATATCTCAGACGCGCGTATTTCTCATCGAGCAGAGCTCTCTTTGGACTATCTGTTTTAGGGTGTGCCTGGCATTTCAATCTTTGCTGCCAATCTTTCAAGAGGAGTCTTTAGAGATGGCATAATAGCTGTGATGGTACAACAGTATATTCTTCCATCAAATATTTATTTGACTTCACAAATTGCAAGAATTTACAAATTAAGAACTGGATGAAACAGTCAATAAAAGAGCAAAAGCAACAATCCTAATGGTTCATTGGCTAACCACGTGAATACCGAAAAGGATAGTCGCAGCTTTTGAGTCCATCCGAGATTCTGTATTTCGCTCGTATCTCAGCATTGTTGCGGTTGTATTCAATATCGCACCCAATCATGCAAAACTAATAAGCAGTGCATACAAAGTTTAACAAAGGAGCAATTCATTAAACAATAGAACCAATCAACTAACATTCGACAATATTGAACTGATGACTTAAAAAATGTGAATATACAGACTTTCGAAAACTCAGATCTGTTGAAGATGAACCTCAAAAGATGTACAATAGACAAAATGGGATAAGCAAGATATGATATGTGACTCCGACAATCATATGATGAAATTACTAAACAAAAACCGTAGTTTGCCGTACATCATATGATGCAGATAATTTGAAGGGAACTAAGCGCTAAGGCTACACAGATGACTAAAGTATGAGTTGTCATAGAAAAGCAGAATGAAGTAAATTAAAGTGAATCAATTAGCACTAATTGCCAAGTAACATGTATG